GTTCTACATGATGCAAGCAAAGCTGTCCCACTACAAAGGTATATTGCATTTGGAGAATTATTAATATTTTTATGATTGCTGTACATTTTGATACCATTTACACTGATGTATACTTTGTAATAAATTTTAAATATGATTAAATGAAAACCAAATCTGCTAAATAAAGGCATTGCTACTTATTTGGTTTTAGAGATAAACTTAATTCAATAAGGGATACTTTCATAAATGTACAGTAAACTTATTTCCAGATAGATTAAGTAGTATATCCCATGAGAAGCCCATTTTTGAAAAGTTTCCAAAAGTTTTAACTACTAGTGTACACTGCCAAAGAAATGCCACAATATCTTTCTGTGGTGTCATTTATTGACCATGGCCTTATTTAAATTGTAGTGATTATTAGCTTGTTTACAGATTCAGTTAAATGTAGAAGGTACTATATAAAACTCTGAACATCCTGAAACTTGGATATTTCCATTGCAGGACTGGAGATGATATTGAAGATCACCAGCGTTCCAAGCTGGACTGTGAAACTGAATGAAAACTTCCCAGAAGAAGACAGTGGCAAATAACTTTCATTCTGTTCCCAGGAGAGTGAAAAGGACATGTCCATGTGGTCATATGATGTCTCAGAAGCTGGGCTTTGCAATCTGCAGTTAAAAATGGTACAGACCAGGAAAGAGGGCATTATTTGTAATGTTACAATTGCAACACTGTCTTCTTCTAATACATCTATTTGTTCCTTTCCTTGATATCACAGTCAAGTTTTTATAGCATTCTGTTCAGCTTTTACTACATTTTAATTTGTCCTGTTTATTGAACTGCTATCTCTCTCCAGCTGGTTGTTAAATTGTATTTATTTATATAAAAATAGCTTAAATGTAAAAAAAAATTGTAAATACAGTGTGAATAAAGCAGTGAATAAAGTGAATAACTTTTTACTTCTTAAAAATGAGAGTGATAGTTAAATTTGTATTTATGATTTTGTGTAGTCTCCCTGATTAATGAAAAAAGGCATCCATAATCAGTAACACTAAAATATGATATAAACTGGCAATGTTAGGGAAGGAAAGGAAAGGAAAGGAAAGGGAAGGAAAGGAAAGGAAAGGGAAGGGAAGATAAACAGTCGTCTAATTGTCTGCTTTTGTTAGTTCCTGCAGGGTTCTTTCTGAGAAACTTGAGAAAAATTCAGGTACTATTCATAGATAGGAGTAATTTTATAATGAAGGAATTAAAGACAAGACAAGGCTTTTTTATTTCTTGCTAAAATCTACTGTTTAAGATTTAGAGCTTGGCTGTAATGTAAATTTTCATTCTCTTGGTTAGCTTCAGGGAAAATAGTCCCAATTTTCCAACTGTAACTAATAAAAAGGGTCAACTTTTGTTATGATTCCAAAATTGTAATGCTGTATTTGAAATTGGATTTCATTCATATATACTATGTATCATTGCAGAATGAATATGGCAATAATTCCAGAAAACTAAAAGAATTGTTTATTTTAAAAAAGCATATAATTGCATTCATTTTACAATAGTCATTCAACAGTCTAATTGAAACAATCATAGCCAGTAGCGGAAGTTGTGCATTTTATCTTGAATCACATTTTAGTATAAATCCAGCAATTCTGCTTAATTGAAAAAGAATAGAATAGAATACTTCATTTGGTAAAGTATGATTAGACACACAAAGAATTTGTCTCTGGTGCCGAAGCTCTCAATGTACATGCAAAGCAACAGAGTAATAATAACCATAATATACCAATAAGAGAGTGTAATAGAGAAGATAAGAAGGATAGTAATATTACTACAGCTATACAATATTGGTAAATAAACCTAGACATAAAACAATACTGTAGGAATTAGGTATTCATCAGAGTGATGGCATGATGGAAAAAAGTATCTTTGTGTCTAGTTGTCTTGGCATGCAATGCCCTATCGTGGCAGCTTCAGTGGAGGAGTTGAAACAGTTTATGACCAGAATGTGAGGGGTCTGTAGATGGTTGTCAGTCCTCTTTCTGACATGTACAGTATACAGGTCATCAATGGAAGACAGGCTGTTGCAATTGCATTTTCTATAATTCTAATTAACCTCTCCTACTCTTAACTGCTTTATCCCCCTTGAACCCACCACGCTGCCCCCTTACCTGCACTGAGCACCTTCCACTGATTTTCGGTTACTTTGAGGCCTTTTTTGGCCTCCCAGAGGCTCAAGGGAAGCCTCTGCAGCCTTTGAAGGTTGAAAAATGGGCCTGTTTATCACTGCCAGTATTTCTGGAAATATAAGAAGTGACAAAATGGGCCTGTTTTTCGGCCTACAAAGGCTGCAAAGGCTTCCCTCGAGCCTCTGGAAGGCCGAAAAAGGCCTCAAATGGGCCAAAAATCAGCTGGGAGGTGCATGCATGCACAGTGCAAGTATGTTTGGCTGGGGCTCACATGCTCGTACAAATGGCTCTGCGTGCCACCTGTGGCATGCACGCCATAGGTTCACTATCACGGTTCTATACAGCCCAATTTTTGTAGTGTATTTTATCCATCCTGATTTTTTAAAGCAATAATTCTATTATATGCCTTTTTCTCATCCACAGCTTCATTTACTTCTTCATTCCATCACTCCATTAAGCATCCCCTTTCATATTTCTCATTAAGGGTAACACCACACACATTCTCTAGCATAACTCTATTCAATGCGTTCCAAGTAACTTCCATGTGTTCTTTTCTTTAGTTTACTACTGTTTGAAAAAAAGTAATATATCTTTTAAATTTTTTTGTATAAGACTACTTTTTCATTTTCAATCATTCTATTTTACATTAGTAACTTTCATTCCTTTCTTTTGATTCCAATTCTATTTTCCCCAAATTTGGGGAAATAATTCCATCATCCTTGTATCTTTGTTAGATTTCCCAATATTTAACCATAAACAATAAAATCAATCATGATTTCAAATTTTAATAAAGATTAAAATAGAATGATATATACAATTTAACTCAAAGTTTTTCATTAATTATTTCCAAATACTGGAGCAGAACTCAAACTTATCATTTTCTACTTTCATACTCATCCACAACATTTTAAATAAGACCAATTTATACTTTCTGATATACATATTGGCCCCTTCATTCACAATTAAATCTATACTTTCATTTTCTTGCGTATTTTCATCAACCCCATTCCACAACATTGAAACATCTTCATTCAGATATTTCCCTGTTTTCTTATTTTTACTGATATACATCTATAGCTATTTTCTTTCTTTTCTTAATTGATATTCATTATTATGTACTCTCTTTACATTCCATGTCAAAAGCTTCCATATGCCATTATTGTTACCAAATGTCCCAGTGTGGTTTTGGTCAATTAAGGTTTTAATATAAGCTATTTTTAATAATATAGCGAGTAAATTATCCATTGCAGCTTTATATATGCCATAGTGATCCAGGTTACTTGATGAACCATATCACCCCAATGTGACTGGCCCATCCTACCTATCCCAGCAGAAGAGGCATCTGTGGGCCTCATCAGTCAAGGAATTCTGGCTGGCAAAAGAAGACCCCTTTCTGTCATGGTTCCTGCCCTTTGGGACATCTTATTCCCTGAGGTGAAATCAGCTCCTACCCTACTGACCTTCTGTAAGGGCCCGAAGACCTGGCTCTGCCAACTGGCTTGGGCACTCAATAGCAGGTGTATCACATTGGAGGAGGTTGATGGCTCCCTCCCTCTCCATTTTTAATTGTAATTTTACTATGAATTGTAATTCTATTTTATTGCTTTTAGAAATATTTATGTTTTGCAGTTTTATAGCTTTTAATGTTGTAAGCTGCCTAGAGTTGGTTCTAGGAAAAATAGGCAGCAAATAAATATAATAAATAAAATAATAAAATAAAATAAATACTGCTGTACTAGCCTATTATGGCACATTTTGGATAATATACCACAAATGAAAGTAAAACCCAATTTTCTTTGAAGAATGCTCATACTATGCTATCCAGTTTAGAGATTGCCTTAAAAGTCAACATAGTGTTGCTTGAATCAACCAACTGACATTTGATTGACATTAGCACTGTGAGATGGCAGATAAACAAACAAACCAACCATTTTAAACATAAAACAGGTCTGACAACTTCCAAGAAAGGTCCTAGGAAATATGCTATATGTTAAAAACATGTCTTTCCTACAATACTACTATTAGAGTAGAATTGTGATCATAATAAAAATACACTGTAGGCACTTGGAAGATTAACTACACATGGGTGTTAGGATAACTGGGTGGAAAATGAAAGGAATATACTTCTTTAGTGGCTCAGATTAAAATCCAGATATGGGCTATAATGTTCTGCCTTTATTTGAATTAATAATTACAAAGATCAACATTTAAATTTTCAGTCATGAAATATATTTTAATATGATTTCTCATCTACAAGGTGTAATTGAAATGTACAACAAAAAATCTGTTTTGAGTTGAGCCCAGATTTGCATTACACAACAGTGATATCTACAATGCTTTCCTAAAATTAGAATAGAAAAAAAATCAGAACAGAATAGAATGACAGAGTTGGAAGAGAGTTGGAATCTTCTAGTCCAGGCAGGAAACTCTATACCTTGTCAAACAAATGGTTGCCTTCTTAAAAACTTCCAGTGCTGGAGCATTCATAATTTCTGGAGGCAAGTTGTTCTACTGATTAATTTTTCTAACTCTCAGGAAATTTTTTCTTAGTTCAAGTTTGCTTCTCTTCTTGATTAGTTTCTATCCATTGCTTCTTGTCCTGTTCTAGGGTGTTCTGGAGAATAGGTTGATTCCCCCACTTCTTTGTGGCAACATCATAGATATTGGAACACTATGATCATGTCACTCCTAGTCCTTCTTTTCATTAAACAAGACATACCCCATTTCATCAACTGTTTTTTAAATATGTTTAATATGTTTTTTTTATGTTTTATATGTTTCAACCTCCAGACCCCTAATCATGTTTGTTGTTCTTCTCTGCACTCTTTCTAGAGTTTCCACATCTTTTTTACATCATGGTGACCAAAACCGGATGCAGTGTGGTCTTAAAATGTCTTTTAAATTCAACAAACCATATGCCTAATGTTAATTTTCTATACAACAATGCTCAAATATCTGAAGTTCCATTTTAAAATCAAATTTCATTTTAAAGGAGGAATTTTTTTGTTCCTTGGCTCCAAAAGCCCACAAGTATGACTCATTATTGCCAATTGAGCCTAATTAGTCAGAAGGACTATTGTTTTAAGCCCTTCTTTTCCCTGGAGGAAATTCTCAAAAGTCCTTCCCATTCCATCACTTTTAAAATTGAAGGCACCCTCAGAACAGGTTTTCAGCATGCATAATTTCTTGACTCAAGCAGCACAAGATGATAATAATCCTATGAAGTTGTGAATGTAATCAGATCTTTGTTTCTGTGTGCAACAATACGTAAGGAACTGTATCAAGATACCTTTGTGTAAAACTGCATTTTAAGTTGTGTTTGTTCCTGGAAAAGAGGAGTTCTTTCTTGTGCCACCAGGACTGCAAGTGATTTTTAACAAGTGATTTTTTATTATTTGTAGCATAAGAAATAATAAAAGTATTTGTGTTATTCAAAATATTGTAATTATTCAAACATAAAAGATTATTATAACGTTATTTAGAGTTAGATGATGATAATGATGATGATGATGAGCAGAGTCAAATTACACATGTTTTAATTTTTTTGACTTGTCAAGCCCAAAAGTTCACCATCACTGATCCAGAGAATGTTAAACATTTGAATTCAAAATGATTAGTTTTATAAGTAGGACTTGAGTAGTGATGAGTGGCTAATAGAGATTATTAACAGTGGCTTCTCTTCCATAACACAACATTGTTCAGAATCCAATAATCCTCCTTGTTTAGTCATTCCAAAGCTGATGTTTGAAATGTCCTTGAGAAAACAAGCTGCAACACTATTTTTGGACAACACTACATAATTTACAAATGGACTGTAACTCATTATTATTATTCTTCATTTAACTATAATGCAGCCATATGCTCAATAAATAACTATAACACATTTCATAATTGACAATTGAATGTGCAAATCATTCCAATGAACAGCCTTTTACAGAATTTTTTTTGGAGTTTAAATTAAAACATGATTATTTTATTATTCAACAACAATAACAATGCCCTGAGGATATTTTGAACTACCGCCTCCTTATAGGCCTGTGCTAGATATCTTTCAGGAAATTTGAACATAAATATACACTTCTAGTGTATATTTACTTCTAGTGTATATTTGTGTTGGCCCATTAAATGATGGACTTAACAAGTGATGTTCATGCACTATTAAGCATGCTATGGCTTTGGTATAGCACAATATGCACCTTCTCTCATTGGAAGGCAGATGGCGAAGGTGTTCATTCAGTGAAAAGTCTTAGTGTCCATGGTAGACATTAAATGGTTTCATTTTATTATTGTTCAGCTGTTTTACTGTTTTTGCTGGGGGCATGCCATTCCATCATTTCCTGACTATAAATAAATAGTTTATCAAATGTCATAAAAGTAACAAACTGCTCTTTTCTAGTTCTAGAACCAGTGTGAACCTTTCAGTTGTATTATGAACTCGGGAGCAATAATATTTTCATTCCCTATCCTAGTATTTATTTTTGAAAGGCAAGTATAGATTATTAGGTGCACTGTTCTTTGTCTTTACAATAGTTCTTTCAGATAATTATCAAATGGCAATAACAATGATCATTTGTGCATAACAACTCTGGTGTCTTATGATTTCCTGTGACATTAAACACAGATGGACTGCCCCTCTCCCTAGTTCTAAAACATGGTACATTTTATACTCTAGGAAAAATATTGTGTAGGTTATCTACAGGACAGATAGTGAAAATTTCCTTAGTAACTTCCTATTCAACAAAAACCTCTAAACAAATATTAATTCATTCACATAAAGGAATTTTCTACAAGCTCTTTTTATTGCAATTTAGCATAAATGCTTCAGCAACTTTCATCATCATCATCATTATCATCATCTAACTCTAAATAACGTTATAATAATCTTTTAAGTTTGAATAATTACAATATTTTGAATAAGACAAATACTTTTATTATTTCTTATGCTACGAATAATAAAAAATCCTTGTGCTTTTTAAAAATGTTGAAATAATAAAAAAGAAAAGTACTTTTAATAGTTTAAAGACATATTTTTTGCCCTTTCATTTTTGCACTTGACCAAGAATAGGATATCAACATTTGAGAAGATAATATAATGCGAGACCATGGGTATTTTTAAGCGTGCTACTCTGTGAAAAAAAAAAATTAATTGTTTTTCTAATCTATGAATTAAAAATGGAAAGCCACTGTTACTTAAAATTAACCTTACTGTTCAATGAATACATATACAAAAAAAAAAAAAGGGGGGGGGGGGAACTCTCTGCTTTTATTATGAATTCAAAAGAAAGAAAGAAAAGAAAAAAGACATTGCATACTTGGAACAATTTATTTTTGTGCTTGAAAACTTCAGAATAATTTGATTTCTCTATTAAAAAGTTTAATGTTAACCCCATATAAATATAATGTTTGTCTCAAAGATGTAGATTCTATCCATTTAGTACTCTATCACTGACCCTTTCTTTCCTTATTTGCTCTTTTTTTTCAGGTTTCTTATATTCCCAGTGTTGTTGATGGCCACTTCTTTATTCTTTTAACCATTTTCATGGCAGAATCAGGTCACTGCGTTGGAGTTATGCCAACATGCCTATTCCTAGTAAGCAATGTGACTAATATAGCTTAAGGTTCCTCTATGGTATCCTAACTACTGTATATTGCAACAAAATCTGTTTCTCTCTCTCTTCTTCTGTCATTTCCCATACCATTAGAGTTGTTTTGTTATAAAAAGATTGTTAAATCATTTTAAAATACAAAAGAATAATTTTAATGAAAAATAAGTTAAAATTTTAAATTATGTAAAGTTTATTCAAATGAATTTATATCTACCGCTAATTTTGAGAAATATTCAAATTCCACATTTTAAAAAAATTCTAGCATACTCCAATCTCTCTAAAGTATGCATCAATCTGTTCCAAGGCCTGTGAGAACAACCAGGTCTTCCATAATGTCCTAAATGATATAAAAGTGGGACCCATATGAATCTCTGGGGACAGATCATGCCAGAGAGCAGAAACTGCAACAGTAGGCACATTGCCTGAATCTTTATTTGACAGGACCCAGAACATACTTACAATGATAGGACCAAACCAGATAGGCAGAAACAACTGGAGATAAGTATTCCCTCAGATAATCAGGTTGTGTGCCACAAAAGACTTTAAAGTTAGAACCATGAATTGCACCTCAAGCCATATAAATAAATGCAAGTGTATCTATCTATAAATCTTGATTCCTGACTCAGTGTAGTCCTCTGGGCTGAAAAAGTTGCTCAGGCTTACTTCTAAGAAAGAAAACTCACTTGTATGTTGAGTTGCAGGTGGAGTTTCTAAAGAAAGCTTAAAGAATTGGGTCACACTAAATTCAAAGATTACTGATTGAGTCCCAAGTTTTTCTTACCAAAGAAATTTTTCCCCTCTCCATCATGTGTCCGTCGTCTTGCCACTTACAGTTACCAGTGCTTGCAGTGGTGTATTTTACACAACTGAGAGTTCAAGGTTCATGCTTAGATGCAAAGACTCTAGTAAATCAGATTCCTCTTTGGAAGATATTTTTTTTCTGGCTCTGGCTCTATGTTATGGGATGCAAACTCCTCTATTTGCTTAGCTCCTTAAAAAAATGCCAACAAGCAATTTATTTCTTCTTTCTTAATATGCATTGTTGCTCTCTTGTTATATTGCATCTGTAGTACTAATCAAGGTCATGGCATTTTCTCCCAAACACTAAAATATTGATCCTTGGCTCAATATTTGTTTTAACTGAACCAGCTTAGAACTCATTAAATATCAATAGAATGAAAAGTGGAAAATAGCAAGCAAAAGTTCTTTAGAAGTCTCCCATCAGCTTTAAAGAGGGAGTACCATTCAAATATTAACCAAGGTGGGCTGCAAATAAATTACTAAGCTTTATTTAAAAATGATGGGAAATTTTTCACATAAGAGCAACATATGTCATCTCATACAGCAAAACAGTGAAAAGACTGATGGAGACTATTGTTGCCTTCTCCCTATAAAGAATCTGTCCTGCGACTGTTGGAGTCATGGTAGCCATGAGTTCTAGCATATTCTTGGCACTACTTGATCATCAACCTGCAGTTGTTGAAAAGGAGCCTTTTCTAATTTGAATGTTTTAAAATTCTAAATTTATTGACTGCTTGATTTTATAGCGATAGCACTTATATACTACTTCGAAGTTCTTTATAGCACCCTCTAAGTAGTTTACAGAGTCAGCATATTCCCCCCCAGCAATCTGGGTCCTCATTTTGCCTACTTCAGAAGGATGGAAGGTTGAGTCAACCTTGAGCTGGTCAGGATCAAACACCAGGCTGTGAGCAGAATTAGCCTGCAATACTACATTCTAACCACTGCACCACAAATGACAATTATATACTATCAATTTTGGCAAAGTTCAAGGAAGGCAGTGGACATAGTAACCTGCCGTCTACTTTTTCCCATCACAAGAATCTAGTCAGGTAAATTAGGCTAGGAATTATTGTTTTGATTTCCTAGATAACATCACATCCTGTCCAGAAAGTTGGAAGACTGAGTTACAGCCCTGTGGCCCTTCATACATTTGACTTCTCCTGCTATGGATTAACATTATATGCATAAAGGGCAATAGGCATATATTTATCCTCAGCAAATTCTGAAAAGAAAACCCATGAAAATTAAGACGCCCCAAAATAAATATGTTGGTCACATTATTTTTAATATTCTATATAGCTATTTTAACCCAATTGCCTATTTCTAATTCAACATAGTTCCTATAATTTGATAAACATTTAAATTAGACTGTTATAACTACAGCCTAATAAATGTGAGTAAAATATGACATTATGGATAAATATCAACTATAATTATCAGGTAGTATCAGGTGATGGAAAATATTATAA